CTATTAGTGGAGGTACTTCAGTATCGGCTACTTCATTAACTGGAACATTACAAACTGCGGCTCAACCAAATATTACATCTACTGGAAATTTAACATTACCATCTTCATTAACTATTACAAATGGATCTATTCCAATATCAGTATCAAATACTGCATCAACATCTAATTATCAAGTTAGAATTGATAGTGTTAGTGGTAATATTGATTTACGTAATAATAATTCATCTAATAGTACATTATTAGCATTAGTAGCTAATGGAAGTCGCCAACTAACTTGTATAAATAACGCAAATTTAGTTAATTTACCTAATCACAATGGAAGTACGGCTGGATTACAATTAGGTGGTACATTAGTTACAGCAACAGCAACTGAATTAAACTATGTTGATACTACCCCTGGCGCGGTTGAAGTTAGTAAAGCTTTAGTAGTTGATTCAAATCGAAATTTAACTAATCTTGGTAAAGTTAACTTTACATCATCAGACGCTACTCAACCTACAGGTACTACTGTTGCAAGCGCTTTTGGTTTAAATATTTTATCCACAGTAAATACTAATGGTCAGTATAATGCTGCGGCAATTGCATTCTTAAATGCAGCAAGTGATGCAATACCCCATGGAGTAATATTATCTCAACGGACTGCGGCAGCTGCTGGTGACTTAGTATTTTTAACAAGATCAGCTACTAATAATTTAAGTGAAACATGTAGAATGTTATCAACTGGAGCATTTGCAGTTAATGCTACTGCAGTTGCTGCTATAAGCTGTATTGGATCAGCAAATTATGTTGATGGTTCCTACCAGAAAGTATTAGATTTGCAATCAAACAATGTTTCACCAATAGATTTTTGTATTGAGATCAACTCAGGAACAAACGCAACAAGTACAAATGCTACTTGGATGGGCAATTTGACTAATAATGACTTGCGATTCGGAGTCAATAACTCAACTAAGATGATTCTTGACACAAATGGGCGTTTAGGAGTTGGAACAACATCACCGAGTACTACTTTGCATGTTAGTGGAACTGTTTCTAATACATTTAACGTTGGGGGATCTTTATATTCTACTGGGACATCTACAGCATACACTACAAGTCAATTGGGCCCCGTTACGGTAAGCGTCGCTGCTATGTTTGGTGGTCCGATTCAGTGTTCATCGATTTATTGTACATCGGATCGGAGATGTAAGGACATTATCGACCACGTAGAGACTGATTATTGCGATAAATTCTATGATCTAAACGTTTATGAATACAAATACAAAGGGTCAGATGAAACAATTCCAAAAATTGGTTTCATTAGTCAAGATTTGTATGCAGCTGGATACATAAATTTACTATCAATGACACCGAATGAAAACTTGAAGAAAGTGAATGAAGATGACATTGAAGGATATCAGATGAACATCGATTATAGTAAAATTACAGCGATCAACTTCTGTATGATAAAAAAATTACTCAATCGTGTGAAGCAACTTGAGATGGAGCTGAAGCATAATTGAGCGACGCTCAAGAGCCCTTGGCTCGATTTTTTTGCCGGCTGACTGGTATGAAGACCAGACGAATTCGTTCGTCGGGCAAAGGCCCTTCGAACTTCGTTCGGACCAATCTACTCATATTCAACCACTTCACCGGTTAAACGATCAATAGACATAGAACGACCGTATACGACGAGAATTAGACAATTCATTCCTTGACTGCAAGTATTGGTGCCGGAGACAAGGATAGATTGAGGCACATCTGGATTCGTTAATCGAGAGCAGTCTGCAATTAGAACACGCTGACCAACATCCCATTTGTAGGAATCAAATAAGCCATTGCTAATCTCATGCGATAGAGCTCCATTAATAGCTCCGAGCTTCTTGACTTCGTCTTGGAACGATTCAAACGAGTAATCATGCGTTTTGTTGAATACATTTTCATTGCCAACCATTACTTGAAAATTGCGAATGCTTGCTCCTGGCTGACAAGTCCATGGAGCACTGTCAAACGGGGATTGGAATTGTTCAATATTCGTTGCGCTTACGAAATGACCACTGCTTGTTTCACTGAATGGAATCAGAGCAATGTATTTGATATTTTTTAAGCTTGAAGATAATTGAAAGCTAAACGGAGCGTTTTGCTGAGAGTTTTGTTGACCAGTACCTGCTTTTGATTTGAAATACTGTGCGTAGCAATCGAGGTAATTGACTTTCTTAACAGGTTTAGCAACAATTTGACTTTGATTAGCGATATCGTAGAAAGGAATATATAGACGAGTCGTTGTAAATGGGAAGATTTGACCAGAAGTAGAGATCTGTGTAATGTTGTTAGACATAACGCCGAAAGCTACTCGAAGTGAGCCAGCTCCACCAGTTGTAAGTTTTCCTGCATTTGGATTACCTGGGGCCGCACTTGATACCATTACTGGAACCGTCGAGCAACCGTTTAGGGAGAGAGAGGATAAGCTCATTAAATCACCAGTTGCAGTTGTGATATCAACAAAGCCGGTATTGAACGTCATCGTTAATTTGATTTGAGGGTTCGCAACAAGATCCAATTCTTTAAAGATGGGATGGAGATCAACTAAACGAATCTTTAACATATAATACCACGTACCAGCAACCCCTCCTGCGGTAGTAACGCCAGCTACGTATCCACCAGTACCTTGTTGCTGAATTTTAGAAAGAATTGCGCCACTTCGCGTTGTCGGCCAACCAAGAGGGTTTGTTGCTGTAATCGTTGCTCCAGTGGCATCAGAGGTACCAATTTGTTGTGGATTCCAAATTAGACGCTGAATTAGTCCGTTATTAAGAGCGGGAGTTGTTTCTGGAATTAAACCAGTAGCTACAGTCGTGGCAGCATTAACTGAGTTATTCACAAAACCATCTCCTTGTGTTGAAGCGGTAGGATTGCTACTACTTTGTGGGAAATTCAGACTAACTACATCATCTGGAGCAAGATAGCAGTCTGCACCGTTCTATAATAAATCATCATCACACCATTCAGTTTGAGCTCGTAAATTGTTCCAATAATTTTTATAGTCATTGCTCGTAATGACACTTTTACCGTTAATTTCAACCGCTAATTTATCTAAAATGTTCCATACACCAGCCTTTAATCCTACCGCAAAACGATTTAGAGTACCATTAAGAGCAGAGGCAGACGTATTTTTAACCGTTACTACATAAGGAACGACTACATATGCATCTCGAAGACTGCCATAGCCAGTCGAGCCATTTAGTTGGGAAGTCGCATTAATGATGACAGTTCCCGATTGATACGAACCGTTGTTGTCATCAACGACATTTACAACACGCTTGTCTTTGCTAACACTGACAACTGGATCCGGATTAGTTGTTGAATCGAATAAAAACGAATCTGCTAATTGGGTGCTATCACTCATAATTGAAATTGAATGTTACTGCCTTTTATATTATGATTAGCTATATATAAGCATCACATAATGATTTTAAAATTAAATAAATTTGGTGAATCGACTGCTAATGAACTACAAGAGCTCGCAAATCAGCTGAACATTCATATTGATGGGATAATAGATTTTAGAAACATTAGAGCTCCCCTAGGATATGGAAGCTATATTATACTACTTCGATTAGACTCAGGTGTAGGCCATTGGGTTTGTGTGTGCAACAATGAATACTTTGATTCGATGGGTTTGGGGCCTCCAAGAATTCTGGGTGATATGAAATGTAATAATAAACAGTTTCAAGGGACCTATGATAATTATTGTGGTTTATGGAGTCTGTTGTATCTTTATAGCAAACAACACAATCAACCTGACATATTCAGAAATTTTTACGACTTGAATACAGAAGTTTCGCGTCGTTAATATAGAGCGGGGCTTAGAGAACTTGTTCGAAAAGCCCTGTGACTTTTCGAACTTCGTTCTAATAATTATGAATAGAATCAGACGATACAGAGGAAGCGGAGTTAATGAAGTTGCTCCAAAAGATGATCATAGAATCGATGCAATAATGAAAGAATTGGAGTATCTTCGCTCTGAATTAGCTCAAAAAAAGGTTGAAACATCCATTTCAAAATACTTTAATGAAGAGATATTTACAAAAGATAGAGAAGCTTTACTCAAAGATGGATTTGTTAGTAAAGGAGACTATCTCGAAATCCCATTAACAATACTGAATGCTAGATACAAACAGTGGTGCATCGATACTGGACATAATCGTATGTTGCGTAAAGCGATCATTGAGAACATTCGAAACGATAAAGTCGATGGAGTTGTGTTCAAATATTATGATGGATACGACAAAATACGTGTTTTCCCGCATTAGTGTGCTTTTCCTTTATAAACTGACACTTGTTGATATTTGCACTAATTAAATCAATTACTTTACAAAGCTGTATTATGTCAGATGTTGAATGCTTTTCTATTTTGGGGTCGGTCTGACAACTGCTCGAACTTGTTCGACGGTCAAAGACCTTTCGAACTTCGTTCGGATACTCATATAAATCACTCGTTATTTTGGTATCAACCGGTTCATGTAGTTCAATATCGTCAACATAACCAGTATCATCGGTATCGGATAGATACGTAATATCCATGCTTTTTGTGTACATATATTTTGTTGTTCAATCACCCAAATGGGTAATGTCAAAAACCCAACGTTGGGTTGCACCATTTGATTGGCTGAAATACGAATAGAGAGAACGTCCCTCACCGCAGAAAGCAATTGAAAACATGAAGCTGGTGTGCGCGTTGGTTGGTGTGGAGGGAAACGCCTTCTCCGTGAAGATCGATGCGAGCGAGTTGGTGGATGACTTGAAGGACGCTATCAAGGCGAAGAAGGAGAACGATCTCAAGGCGATCGATGCGGACAAGCTGCAGCTGTTCCTCGCCAAGAAGGGCGACGGTACGTGGTTGGATCGAGATGGCGCGGAAGTTGTGACGCTCGATGAACATGGACACCCGGAAGGCTTTACGCACATGGATCCGTTGTTGTGGATCAAGAACCCGAAGAACTTTGGAGACAACTTTGAGCCAAACGAAGGGGAAATCCACGTGTTGGTGGTGGTTCCGTCGCATGACGTCGGTGGAAAGCGTGTTCGAGTAGATGAATGGTTCGTCGACGAAGCATTTTCCGTCCAAAAGAAGAAACGAAAACTGGACGAGGACGAAACTGACCAATTCACAAGGTATTTCAAGATGGCTGGGTTTCCACCGTTGGCACATCCGATGGAGAAGTACACGAAGATTGTGGAAAGAGATGCATATGCTGTGATTTTTGCAGAGCTAATGCGCAAGGTGAAGTTGTGCTTCGAAGCCAAATCAGGCGCCAACATGGTCGTGACGGGAAATCCAGGCACAGGGAAGAGTCGTTTCTACCTCTATTGCATCTTTCAACTTCTATTGGGACATCAAGAGGAACTGGAGGAGCTGTCTTCATTTGATTTGGTGTTGAATTTCGATCATTTTTATCACAAGTACGATGCTTCAACAAGCGAGTTTCTTGCGTTGAATGAAGAGGAAGTTCGCACGCTGAGCCAGCAACAACGTGTCCTTCGGCTGATCGAAGGAAGATCATCGCAACTCACTGGATGGAAAGGAGTGTCGATTCTATTTGCTTCCCCGGGACTGGATGGCATGAACGATTACGCAAAAGTCGACTCGTTCACGTATATCTTGCCAGTGTGGAGTTTGGAAGAGCTTCAAGATTACAACTCACTGCTTGATGATGGTTTCAAACTAGCAGAAGACGTTTTGATCTCGAGATACGACAAGTTTGGTGGTATTCCAAGATTCATTTTCACTGTTACGGAGCTTGAGAACGACGAAGAACTGACGAAGGCTATCGCCACATTCAGTGCGTTGGATATCATTTCCTATGCCAAGAACAATCATGCTGTGAGAGACGGAAACTACAGCCACCGCATCCTCGAGATGGTACCCGGCAGAGTGGATTTTCGAGCGAAGTTCCATCTGGATTTTTTGTCCAAGTACATCGCCGAAAGAATCGTTGCCAAAGTGGATGAAGACAGTCTACAACGAGTATCAGAATTCGCAATTGCACACGCCAATGATGACTCAGGAAGTACATCCGTCGTTCGAGGCAAGATATACGAGATGCTCTGCCACAGATGGTTCAATCTACACAAACAAGGACGCGTACAGCTCCGTTCGCTGTGCTCGAAGGAGCGCGTGGAGTTGATCGTTCCGGAAAGCATGCCAATGGTACGGTTCTCCACTCTCGACGAGATTCGTGAAGTTCCTCGTTGCTTGACGTACTACCAGCCGACGTCAAGAACATTCGGTGCGTTGGATGCATTCATCTTGGATGGCAAGAACACCAGATGCTATGGCTTGCAGATGACCCTCAACCTGGATCATGGAATCAAAGCTGCACCATTGAGTAGCTTTTTGCTCTGGCTGAACGGTATTGGCGTCCCCACGTATCAGCTCTACTTTGGTTTCGTGGTTCCAAGCAACTTGGCGCCCCACTATCGGAAACAAACGATCAGAACCAAGACCAATGAAGTTCACCAGAGACCAGGAACGTTGGCGAGTGTGAAGCAGTATGTTATTGCATTAGACGTGTTTGTTGAGAACATTTAAAGGGGTGTACAAGCTACAGAGGATATAGAGGAAGCAAAGTTGTTCCTGTGTCCTTGCACTGTGTCTTCGAGACACTATCGATAGTGTTGATAAGACAGAAATGATTCTCTCTGATAGCCTGTCTAAACCGATAGTGTCGAAATGGTAGCGATTTGCCTCCTCTCCTAAGCTACTTCTTGAACAATGTATTCATTCCCCAATGTTTGTTGGTTCTGATCACCTCTATGATCTGATAACCTGCAGAACCGCGACAAGGACTCGACAGAAGTTATAGCTAAAAAAAGGTTCCAGTTTCAGATGATGGAGGTTAAGACAAAAAAAATTGATTCTTTTTTAATTCTGTGTTGTAAATTCGTTCAGGTTTTCTTTCAATGATGGGCATTTATTCTTGATATATTCATTTTTACACATCCAATTGAAATATTGGGTATCGTTTTCAACAATCCACTTTACGGATTTGTTCTTATGTTTGCCCCACCGCATGATATAACTATTTGGAACTTACCTTGTAAAAAGAGTTTGATATCCGATTCTTCGGATTGTTGATTGTATAACCATCGACAGTATGACGCATCTTGATCATATACTTCCTCAAGAGCCTTTCCCTTGTATTTTCCGAACTCTAAAATAACGGACATTTTTATGTGTAGTGTATGGTGTATCCCTATATACTACTTACTAATTTTACTTCAGAATAAAAAATAATTAATGAAGTCGCGAAATATATTACTTTAAATCAGAAGTGATTCTTTATAGAGAGTTCATATATTGGTTTGATAAATTCTTTTCCACTAAGATAATCCTTACCATAAATACACTTCTTATCAAAGTAAAATGTGCCAGTATCAGCATCAAACATATATTTAACGTTCAGTTTTTCACACAAATCTATCAATCTACGACCGATGCATAGCATATTACATTTAATTACTGTATCAAACATCTTATATACTATTTTGCTTTTATACCTTATAGAAAG